AAAGAGAGAGATTTCTGGTTATGTTGTTTGCAGTGGGGTGGAAAAGTGAAGGCCGCCAACTACTGGCATCACTTCCAATTTCTGCTCTCTCCTCTCTCCTCTCATTCTCTCTCGTCGTCTCTCCTCTCGTCTCGTTCCCTCCCCAGGGCCATAAACCTTTAAAGCACCCTAATAAAAACCCTTTGGCGAGGCCTTTTTTAAGTTTTTATGAGATCTGGCCTTTACTTGTTCCCAAGAGATGAGGCCACGCCTCCGCTGGCGCCTCGGAGCTTTCTGGAAGTGCCAGTGAATTCAGGGAGGGGGGTGGGGGGGGTAGCAAGGAGGGAGTCGCGCAGGGAAGAAGGACTGGGAATGGGGTGGGCACTGTGGAGGCCCTGTGGTTTTTTATGCCCGCCCCCTGTTGGCAATATGTGTGTAGTGGGCGTATGGTGTGTGTAGAATGCATGGCAAGTGTGAGTCCAGGGTGGCAGCTGAGGCTGGCAGGATGGCAGTGTGAACAGCAAAAGTGAGCAATTATATGATTGGATTGAGTTTATGTCCTTGAGACAGATTTTAGATAAAGTACATCAAAATCAAACAAGACTTCTAAATAAAAGGCATGTGTTTTGAACAGCAAGCATGCATGTTGTTATAGCATGTGTGTGTCTCGTATGCATTCGCCCAGACGATGGGGGCCAGCAGGTTGCGTCCCTTGTTGTTTTGAAGTGGGGCTCTGTGTTCTCATAGAGCTAATGAATGGAGCCGACCCCCCCTCCATCCCTGTCTGATCGCAGTCGGGCACCGGCCCTCCCTCCCAATCCGGCTCTGACGCGCCGACGACCAGCCCCCTGCAAAGGAACAGTTGGCAAACGGACCGGGCCCCATTAAGATGCAGGCGAGGGCGGCAGGACCCTCGCCCTCCGAACCACTTGTAAGAGCCAGGAGAGAGAGAGAGTGTGTGACCAGGCGGAGAGAGAGAGAGAGAGAGAGAGAGAGAGAGAGAGAGAGAGAAGGGGAAGGAGATAAAAGTAATCAAAGAACTTTTTGAGTGAGGAGTGCATGTGTGCAATATGTGTGAATGTGTTTATGTGTAAGTGCAGATTTCTGTGTTGGATTGTTGTGTGTGTGTGTGTGTGTGTGCTGTGTGTGTGTGTGTGTGTGTGTGTGTGTGGTGTATGTGTATGTGTGTGCGCATCGTGTAGTGTGTGTGTGTGGGGCATGTGTGTGTTTGGGAGTGGCAGTTACAAGCTCAGTGGCGCAATGACATTAGCCCATGCTGGTGGCTTTAGACTGTGGACGTTTTGCTCTCGCGCACAAGCCCGCATTTGTCAGAAAAAAAAAAAAAAAAAAAGGTGTGTATTCTCAGCCTCATCTCTATCAGGGGCAACTGAAAAAAAGGGAAAGATGTCTTCTTTTCTTGAATAAGCCCTCAGTCATCTGGCCTCCATGTTGGTAATCGCAGTTTGATTACTCACGCCTTGAGTAGTAAGGGTAGTAAATGGGGGGATCTGATTAAATCCCTTGTTTATGTATTTACTACTAAACTAAAATGTTTTATGTAGGCTGCCACCACCACCCCAGGAACCAGTCTATCATTTACTAATCCAGTAATCAGAATCCTGGCTCCTTCGAGTTAATGCATGGATTCTAATGTGAAAGCTATAAACGCGTTCGTGGCGTCCGTGTCAAAAAAAACAGAAACAGGCTACATAACAGAGACTCTTGCCCGACATAAATTCTTTTCGCTGCTGGAGGTAATAAGAATAAAACAATTTTAATCCAAGCAATCCTGCGCTGGAGTCTAAGCGTGGCAGGCCCCCCCGATGGCTTCCCGTGTCAAAGCATTTGTGCCATCGTCTGCAGCGGCAATGAACGCAGCACTGATTGTTTGAAAGTCGCATCCAAACTTCCCCCACCCCACCCCTGGTGCTTG